GGCGCGTACCATCCGGAGTAGAGGTTCCAGGGAGAGGGCGAACAACAGGGGTGACAAAGGGCACCCCTGGCGTGTGCCGTTAGTGATAGGGAAGCATGGGGGTGGGATATTAGGCAGTAGGAGTGCCCCCTGGGGGTCGTGGTATACCGCTGTTAGGAACGAGGTGAATTCTGGTGGTAGTCCTATGTGTGTCAGAGTTTGGTGTAAGAACTGCCATGTGAGGCGATCAAAAGCCTTGAGTCCCAGCTTTGCCCCTAAAAAGCGTATCATTGCCATCTTGGTGCCCAGCTTCTCAGTGTTATCTCTGTCCCAATACAGCTACTCAGAACCCTGAGTAGCTAATCAGTGCCATCTTTATCTGAACATAACTATTCAGTGCCATCTTAGTGCCCAAATAACTTAGGGGCACTGGTAGTGGGCTAATAGGGACTCTAATTGAGGCATTAGGGGCTCTGTTAGGTGGCTCGGGGCTGTAGTGGGGGACAGGGGATGTAGTTGAGGGTTAGGGGCTGTAGTTGGGGGTTCAGGGTATGTGTTGGTAAGGGTATGTAGTTGGGGGTTAGTGGTTATAGTGTTAAGGGGCTGTAGTAGGGCTAAAGGTGTAGGGTCTGAAGAAGAAAAAAAAACTAGTTTAGCCTCCCTCCCTGAGCCCAGGGAGGGGATGGGAGAAACCTGATCCCTGGTGGTCCTAGGTACAATGTGAGCTAAGCAGAGTTTAATTCAGGGAATGGAGCCTATGGCAAGGGGGGGAGCCTATCACGAGGAGGCAGGGCCTAATGCCACAATGCTCCTCTAGCTACAGAGTCATTGGCGATGTGCACCCTGTGATACCCTGTGATACGACCTGGCCTTGCAGTGAACTGCGTCAAGTTATCTTCTCCTCTCCTTGCTTGGGCAAGTGGTGCTTTCTCATTATTGATTCATCACATTCACTGCAGAGTCGCGAGGCACTATTTCCCTCATTACTGATTGTCAGAGATAACCCCACTGCCAGTGCTTTTGTTGAATATTTACTGCTCCGTGCGCATTCCTGCCCCTTTGTAGAAAACACATGTCCAGCATGCTTTATTTGTACCGATGCGCTAGACTGCCACAGAGTGCCTTCTGTAGTGGTAATAAGAAGCAAAGGCCATTTGTAGGTCCTTCAAAGTATTTAATTGATCCATGGCACAACAGTTGAAACCACTGGTATAGAAAAATCTTAACTCTCTATGCATCAATTTGTTTGCAGTTCCTAACAGCTTCCCCGAATTCCGTTACCATTAAAGGCTAAAATAAAAAGTGGGTAGATTAAATTTTTTTATCATTCTTTATTTATTGGTTTTGTGTTGGTATCAGTAATCAAGGGAAGGGATACAGAAAATAATAGGGGGGGGGATACGACATTTCCATTCAGTCAGGTTTGTACCAACGCAGGGTACGTTTAAAAATATGGTAGTACAACGGTAAACAGTATGCATTAGACTATAATGGCTACCAGTTATCGAACCTGTGTTGATGTGTAATCTAGTACCCTCTCGAAGCGGTGGGGTCACCGAGGAAGGGGGGAGAGTCCGTGCGGGTCGAGAGTGCGGCTGACGTGGGGGTATATTTTCCTGTCTGCTTAGCCGGTAAGTCCCGGTCTATTATGTCAGTCCGAGTCGGCAGTTGTATTTTTGCTTACAGGTCGATCATTCTCCTGTCGAGTTTTGAGGGACCCTAGTTGGTGTTTGTTGTGTTCCAGCTTTTTAACCCCCGCTTCGGGTTCCGCCTGCCAGGTTCGTCTCTGCGCCCGTTAGTAAGGTGGTCGTCCTAGTGTTTCCCCTGTTCCCAGGTGAATGGTACTTCTGGTTGTGTCGTGAGTGGTTGGGTTGGTGGGGTGAGGCCTTGAGGTTGGTGGTGTCGTGGGTGGCCTGGTTATAGTGGGTCGGGTTGGAGGTAGGGGTCGGGGTCGCGGCCCGTGGACCGCCCGGAGCGCGGCGTCCCCAAGAGTGGGACCGGGGGGGGGCTGGTGCTCATTGGTGGCAGGCGTAAGAGCCATGGTATCATGTGTTCAGTGAGGGGTAGCGTGTTAGCTACCTAGTCGTTTGTTGTGTTGTTGGCAGGTGCTCTGTTTGTGCATACGGCTACCAGGGGATGGATGTGTCTCCCTCTAGCCATGGGTCCCATACTTTGTGAAAATGTTTGGGGTGTCACGGAGTTGTGCTGTCAGTTTATCCATCTGTGAACTCTCTGTTATTTTTCTTGTTATCATTTCTTGTGTTGGGATGCGGGTCGTAGACCAGAGTTCGGCTATGGCTCTGCGGATGGCGAGCGCGATCCGGGCTATCAGTTTGTTTTCTGATCTCGTGAAAGGATCTATGGGCTTGGATAGCAACAGGGCCCAAGGGTCTGCCGGGCATGGTTTGTGTAGTAATTTGGCGATTAAGTGGGTGGCGCTTTGCCATAGCGGTCGGAGTTTTGGGCACGTCCACCAGCAGTGGAGGAACGTTCCCGTCTCTCCACATAGCTTCCAGCATGCGTTGGATGGTGTCTGGTGCATGGAAGCCAAGCGTTGTGGTGTGAGGTACCACCGAAAAAGCATTTTATATGCCTGCTCGGTGTGTGTAACGCATATGGAGACGGAGGCTGTTGCCTCCCAGATATCCGCCCAGTCTGTCGTGTCGGTCGGTGGACCCAGGTCTGTCTCCCACGCTGATATGTATGGGAGGGAGCGTTGTGTGGGGTGATTAGCTATGATTGTGTACAGGTCTGAGATTTGGCCTTTTCTGTTGGGGTGGGTCACGCATCCGCGTTCAAATTTGGTGAGTGGTGCTGTCCCCGCTTGTTTAATGCTTGGGATCGCTGCAAAGCTACGTAGTTGTATATACCGAAAGTGGTCAAATGTTGTGAGGGACGCGGAGTCTGGGATGTCTGAGAACTGGATAATGTCGTTGTCCCGATAGAGGTGTCCTATTCTAGCAATGTCTCTTTGTTCGAACTTGGCGAAGTGTTTGGGTGTGAGGCCCGGGGGAAACAGTTTGTTCCGCCAGATCGGGGTCATCGGGGAAAGGAAAGATGAGAGATCATACTTATCTTTCGCTTTGTCCCACTGGTCAAGTGCGTGCGTGATCGCGGGTGCTGTCGGCGGTGGTAGGGGTCTGTGTGGCCTGGGTGTCCACATGTATAGGGACGGGTGGTCCCAGCCAAAGATCAGGTGTTCCAAATCCACCCATCTCTTCTCACCCGGCTGTACGTGCCAGTGCTGTATCTGTGCTAAGTGTGCTGCTGTGTGGTAGTGTAAGAAGTTCGGTAGGCCTAGGCCTCCGGATTTCTTGGGGACATATAGCGTGCTCCTGCGTACCCTTGGTTTGCGTCCGTTCCATACGAACCTATCAATAGCCGTTTGGAGGGCCTTGAAATCTGGTTTGTGTAGAGGGATTGGGAGGGTTTGGAAAAGGTAGAGGAACCTAGGTAGGAGGTTCATCTTGATGGAGGTCACGCGTCCCATCCATGATATGCCCAGGGGTTTCCATGTGACCAAGTCCTCGTATGCTTTGAGTATTATAGGGGTGTAGTTCTTGGAGTATAGGGACGTGACGTTAGCTGTTAGTTGGATCCCGAGATAGGAAATAGCCGAGTGGCAGACCCGGAGAGGGAAGGTGAGGCGGATCCTATCTAGCGTTGTGGTGTTCATTTGGACAGGAAGCAGTTCTGATTTATTCAAGTTGAGCTTATATCCCGAAATTTCCGAGTATTCTTCCACAATGGCGAGGAAGGGCCCTAGGGAGCGCTCTGGGTTGGTCAGGGTCAGCAGGATGTCATCGGCGTATGCCGAAATTTTGAATATTTCCCCCCTGACCGTGATCCCCTCCACCTCCGTATTGGCGCGTACCGTCCGGAGAAGGGGCTCCAGGGAGAGGGCGAACAGCAGGGGTGACAGAGGGCACCCCTGTCGCGTGCCGTTAGTGATAGGAAAGCATGGGGGTGGGATATTAGGCAACAGGAGTGCCCCCTGGGGGTCGTGGTATACCGCTGTTAGGAACGAGGTGAATTCTGGTGGTAGTCCTATGTGTGTCAGAGTTTGGTGTAAGAACTGCCATGTGAGGCGATCGAAAGCCTTTTCGGCATCGAGCGATATGACTGCTGTTGGGATACGTCTATGGTTGGCGAGCCAAATGAGGTCAATGGCCCTTCGGGTGTTGTCCGCTGCCTGTCTCTGGGGTATAAAGCCCACCTGATCGGGGTGTATGAGTGATCCCAGGTGTGGATTTAGTCTGTTTGCCATGACCTTGGTCATGAGTTTGAGATCAACATTAAGCAGGGAGATCGGCCTTTAGTGGGCCGGTTCTAGCTGGTCCTTTCCGGGTTTGGGGAGGAGGCAAATGTGAGCCCTTGTCAGGTCTGGCGGGAGGGTTTCCCCCCCTCAATGTGGCGTTGAATACTCTGCATAGGTGGGGTAGTAGGATAGGGCTAAATTCTTTGTAGTATATGGCCGAGTAGCCATCGGGGCCCGGGCTCTTGTTTGGCTTGAGAGGTCAGAGTGCCTGTGCCATCTCCTCCACCGTGACCTCCTGCCCTATCGCGGCCCTGGCCTCCTGGGTCATGGAGGGCAGGGTCGCTTTCTGTAGAAATGTGTCTATGCGAGTGCGTAGGGGCTCTGAATCGGTTTGGGAGTTTCGGGTATGGTTATATAGGTTGGTGTAGTAGTCCTGGAAAATGCTACCTATGCGAGTTGGGTCATTGCTAATGTCGCCTCCTGTGGTGCGTATGGCCGAGATCCGTTTGGACTCTATTCGGTGTTTGAGTCGGCGGGCCAGCATAGTGTCCGCCTTGTTCCCTTTTTCGTAGAACGTCCGTTTTAGCCACATCAGGGCCTTGGAGGTGTCTTGTTGTGTGAGGGTTTTGAGGAGGTCCCGGGTAGCTGTCCGTTTAGTTAGCGTGGCGGGGTTAGGATTCTTTTTGTGTAGGGTTTCTAGGCGGCGGAGTTCCGTCATGGCGTCAGTGATTTGCTGTTGTGTGTGTCTTTTTTTTATGGGTGGCCAGGCTAATGAGAGTGCCCCTGATGACCGCTTTATGGGCGGCCCATATCGTGGCGGGCGCAGTGTCCGCCTGTGTGTTTAGGTCAAAGTACTCTTTCAGCTCTTTAGCTATTTTGTCGGTGATTGATTTGTCATGCAGGAGAAGAGGGTTCAGCCTCCATGACCATTGTCGATAAATCGACGGTAGAGCGAGGGTGATAGCTATTTCCGCATGATCGGACCACGATATAGAGCCGATTTCAGATTTAGTGATTTGTGGTACTAGGTTAGGGGTCACCAGGAAGTGGTCTATGCGTGAATACGTGCCATGCGGGTGGGAGTAGAACGTGTAGTCTCTGGTTGACGGGTGTTGTACCCTCCATATGTCGATCAGTTTTTGTGAGGTGAGAAATTGGTGGAATAGGGAATCATTCTGCGACGGGCGAGAACGTGCCGTGGCAGTAGAGGTCCTGTCGGTGGCTGGGGTGTGGACTGCGTTGCAAAACCCCCCGACCACGAGTCGCGCAGTTGAGTAAGTGTTGAGGTGTGTGGTCAGTTGTTGCCAGAATGAGGCGTCTGGTGTCGTAGGTGCGTAGAGCGAGGAGAAGGCGTAGGTTGTAGTGCCCACTTTCCCCTGTATGGTTACGTAGCGTCCCTGCGGGTCCCTGTTGCATACCACGTCTGAGAGGGGGCAGTTGGCTCTCAGAATAATGGCTACTCCCTTCGCTTTGGAGTCTGGGGAAGGGGCCATATAGCTCTTCGGGTAATGTCTGTTGGTGAGGGGGAAAGCGCGTTGGGCCGTGAAGTGGGTTTCTTGTATAAGTAGGATGTCTGTTTTGTTTGTGAGCCCATCTTAGTATGCCATGTCTCTTGGCGGGGGAGTTCAGCCCTTTTGCGTTAATAGATACGCACCGCAAGTTTACAGGCATGGTGTCTTTGGTCTATCGCTAGGGCTATGGGGTGGGGAGTGTGAGAAGGTTGGGGGCCGCGCTCCCGGGCGGTCCAAGGCCACGGGGATGGGGAGAGGGTGAGTGGGTGTTGGGGTTCTTATCTATGGGAAAGGCGGGGTTCGTGAGGGTTTCGGCAGGCAATGTGAGTATTGAATCGTATACGCTGGTAGGTGGTGGTCGGTCCAAGTAGTGATTGTGACCGTCATGTCTATCGTTCCTCACCTCGTATGAAGGTGTAGGCGTGTAGGGTCAGTGCATCCGTGCAGCCAGGGTCTGGTGATGTGTTTGTAGCGTCTGCTTAGCGTTCGCTAGCTCCCTTGTCTGTGTCGCGTCCGGTGCGTCAGTGGGTGCCTTTCGTGGTGTGGTCGTGACCGGGTCCAAAGGAGAGATGTTGTTACCACAAAAGAAAATGAGACATTTAGAAAAAATATACATAACATGCAGAACAGTGACAGACATTGCTGCGACAGTATGAGTGTACCATAATATGAATTGTCTTTGTGCTCTGGAAGTTAGAGTGCCTCCAGTGATCTGTTGGGGCAGGGGGAAAGGTGCCCGGGGGCGTCCAGTACAGGGTGCCCCGTGTTCGTGCGTTGAGTGGCTTAGTTACTTGGTCCCCCCCAGGGGTCAATCCCCCTACATTATTTTGGCTCGATGTTTGTCTGGAGATAGGCTTGCCCGTCAGTCCAGGATCAGTGGTCTGTGTTGAATGCATGGGCTCGTGTGCAGTAGTATATCTGTGTCTGCATGTGTTTTTTTTTTTTTGTCCCATTTTTAGTGTATTTTTCCCTTTTTGTTTTTCCCCCTTTTTTTTTTTCCCCCCTCTTTTCTTTTCACCCTCCCTTTGGTAGTTCGGCTGGTTGTGTAATTAGCGGGGAGGGGGAGGGGGTCCCCTGTAGTGTGAGACTTCTTGCGCGTCTTTCCCGATGGGGTGCTTTCCATATGGCTGGGGCCTAGGGACTCTAGTGTGGTGGGAGGGTGTGGGGTTCACTGGCTCACCAGGGAAGGGCCCGATTCCGTCTGTGTGCTAGGTTGTCTGGGGGGCTATGCTTGTATGGGTTCCCTGGGTGCCTGCCTACAGGCAGGTGTCAGTTGCCGGGGTCAGCTGGGCGTGTTCCCCACTATCTGTCTAGTGTCCCCTCCCCGCTTTGATGTCCAGAAACGGGGTTGGCAGCCTGTGTCCCCTGTGGGGGCAGTAGTTTGTGTTTGGGGAGTGTAAGATTAGTGGGGTCCCATGGGTTCTGTGTTCAGCTGAAGTGGGTTCATCTGGGGGTCTAGTGGTGGGCTCATTAGCGGCTGGGCCCGGGGGTCCCGGTGGTGCGTGTGTGGTGTGTTTTGTTTTTTTCCCCGTGTTTTCTTTGTGTTTTCCCTCCCTCCCCCCATTCCTGTTCCATACCCCCCTCCCCCCCACGTGATTTCCCATGCCGTATTTGGCTGTAATTGTAGGGCTAAAGCTTAGAGTTAAAACATGCAACATAGGGTTGCCACATAATTAGTCCTGTTTAGGGTAAAGTCATAGCTTATCTGGTTCCGGGCGACCTGTGGTCAGATAGTTCGTGTTCTCCTGGCGTGCGATGCCGTGGGTCCGGTAGTCTGTGAGGTGTGTTTGCGGTTGTCCTGGCGGCGTGGAATCAGTGGAAGGTGACGGTCCATGTCGTAGAGGTGCGGTCATCTGTACGTCTTTAGGTGGCCGGTTGAGGGTGAGGACTGCTGGGAGGTGGAGCCCTTGTTGGGTGCAGTGTCGGGCCCCTTGGAGACAGTCTTCCTGCTGGGCGTCTATCAGGCTGTTCGGCGGTGAGGTCAATGGCCGGAAGGCCCAGGCGTTCCGCGAATGCTGTGGCTTCGGAGATATGGTACAGAGTGTGTACCCGGTTGTTTTGTCTCACTTGTAGCTTGAAGGGGTGGCCCCATGTGTATCTTATGTGTCTCCTGGCCAGCTCCAAGGTTAGGGGTCTGAGTTCCCTTCTCTTGCGTAGCGTACTTGGAGCTAAATCTTGATAAAAGCAGACTTGATGCCCCTCTATTTGGAGTGGGTTATCTCTCGTCGCTCGCATCAGCGCTTCTTTTATATGGAAATAGTGCATGCGGATGATGATGTCCCTGGGCTGGGTTGCGTTCGGGAGGGGTGCTTTAAGGGCCCTGTGGGCTCTGTCTAGTAGGAGCTCGGCCGGTGAGGCCTCGGGTAGTAGGCTGCAGAAAAGCTCTCTCAAAGTGGGGGCCAGCATATCTATTCCAACCGTCTCTGGCACCCCGCGAATTCGTATATTGTTGCGGCGGGAACGGTTGTTGAGGTCCTCTTGGGCCTCTTCCAGCAGGCGTACCTGGTCTTGTAGTGCTGAGATGGCAGTTTCATTTGTCTGTGCCTGCGTGGAGGTGCGGTCCAGCTGGTCTTCAATGGCGGTAGTTCTGCGTGTGAGGTCATTTAGGCTTTCAGTGATGGGAGTCAGGTGTCTGAAAAACTCTGCAGCCATGTTGGTTTTGATCTCCTGCAGCAGGTGCCTGAGGTCAGCTTTTGTAAGAGGTGCTGCGGCTGCCGTGCGGCTGGTGTCACTTGCCGCCGAATCTGAGTCCTCCTCGCGGCCATCTTCCCCACGTGAGGAGCTCTCCTCCCTGCGGGCGTGAAAGATTGGCGCTACCTCCGCGCCATGCTTAGTCTTGCGCCCTCCTCCCATGTCGGGTCGGTGGAGTGCCGTGGCCGGGATGCTGGGGACCGGGTGTGCTGCCCGTTCGTCGGGTATACGTGCCGGTAAACGCTAATGTTGTGCCTGCCGGTACGGAGCTCTAGCAGAGAGCAGCCATCCGCACCGGAAGTCAGGCGCCGCCCCCAACCACATTTTTATAAGTGGATGAATACGTGACATTACCCCCCACCTGAAGAACGCCCACTGGGTGGGCAGGACCAGGCTTGAAAGGAAATTTGGAGTGAAAAAAGCGAATCTTGCGGCCAGCATGTATATCAGATGCCGGAACCCAAGAACGATCGGCTGGTCCATAACCTTTCCAATCCACCAAGTACTGTAAAGTGCCCCAAGAAAACCTGTAATCAATTATGGAGGAGACCATACTCTTCCTGTCCAGAAACAATTAATGGAGGAAGAGGGACACCTGAGACAGTATATTTATTGCAAACAAGAGGTTTGAGCAAGGACACATGAAAGGTATTAGGAATTTTCAAGGAGGCCGGAAGGGGCAGAGAGTACGCAACAGGATTTATTCTACAAAGGACACAAAAAAGGTCCAAGGAACCTAGGAGCAAATTTCATGCTAGGGACTTTGAGTCTGATGTTACGAGAAGATAACCAAACCCTCTCACCCACTTGGTAAACAGGGTTGGCACCTCGACGTGTATCGGCAAAATGCTTGAAACGGTCAGCAACAGTACCCAGAGCAGATTGAACTTTAACCCAGGTATTGCGGATGGAAGCCAGATGGTCATCCAAAGCAGGAATAGCCGCTAGGACAGTAGGATGCCGGCCATTATTAACACAAAATGGACTGTGCCCAGAGGAGTCATGGTCAGCATTGTTCCTAGCAAACTCGGCCCATGGTAATAATTCGGACCAGTTGTCTTGAGTGCTATTAACGAAACAACGCAAGTATAACTCCACAGACTGGTTAGCCCTCTCAGCTGTACCATTAGTCTGGAGGTGTTAAGAGGATGAAAAAGACAATTCAATCCCCAATTGCTTATTGAAAGCCCTCCAAAACCGGGATACAAACTGAGAACCTCTATCAGATACAATATTGTGAGGAATGCCATGCAGACGGACAATCTCACGTATAAAGATCGGTACTAGGTCTTGAGATGACGGTAATTTCTTGAGAGCGATGAAGTGAGCCATTTTAGACGGTCAACAACCATGAGAATAGTGGTATAACCATCAGAACTAGGAAGTTCTACAATGAAATCCATAGACAAGTAGGACCATGGGACCTCAGGAACGGGAAGAGGTTGTGTAAAGCATTTTCTTGTATTTACCCATGTTCATTCGGCTGTGTCCTCTCCCTGCTCTTTAACTGCCTTGGAACGATTCGTTTTCATTATGTGTTCGGGAAATGTATTTGTTCTACCGAACGGAGACCACCCTGGGTGGCAATCAGAACTTAGAACACAGAGTAACCACACAAAAAAACGCAACTTAATTGAGTGCTCCTAGGTGGCCGCCATTCGGCATATGAACACGTGGCGAGAACAAAGGATGGCGGCCATCTTAAATCTCCCGAATGCGGCCAGCGGGACTTACTCGTGGATTGCCTGGAACTGTTTTCGGCATGGCAATCACACGAACGCCCGGTCATTATGGAAGTCCCGTCTGACCTATTTCCACCCATAGTATCAAACCGGCGTTAGGGAGTTTTAATCTACCGAATGAGGGGAGCACTCTCATGTAACCAGCTGCAACATATCTATGGTAGTTTTCGTGTAATTCTGCATGAACGGAGACCGGCTCTTACTACTGATTTCATGGAACTCTAAATCGGATACCACCACATGGCGAGCCGGTCAATCTTCCACACGATGCGACACGGAAACTACCGAACGGATTCTCGTGCAATTTGGATATGTGACTCCCAGTATCCTCAGCTATCCAGGAGGGTTAGAGAAGGAGCGGTTAATCTGGGAGGATGGCCATTTATCCAGGCTCACCGAGACACGGGTCAACGCACCTGGGCCCCGGCAAAAACGCCAGCTGGTAGTCCCACGGAAATACCGGCAGGAGTTATTGAGAATTGGGCACGATGTTCTCTTAGCAGGGCACATGGGACTCCCAGTATCCTCAGCTATCCAGGGATGTGGTTTATATATTTCTATGTTATGCAGAAAGTATTTTTCTAAAAACTTTGAAAATGTTAATGTTTCTGGCCAGCAGATAATTGAGTTTAGTATGTTGCTGAAACTCAATTATCTAGCCTGGCCTAGAGGAGGAGTCTGTTACTGTATAAATTCAATGCCTGTTGCTTCCAGTAAAT